ACGGGCCACATGCAAAAGATGCAAAGGTATGTGGACCGTTTGCTCAAGCTAAACGTGAAATTCCCTGAGGAGTTGGCAATTGACATTATTTTGCACTCCTTACCTTCTTGCTATGACCAATTTCGTATGACATATCATATGAAGAAGGAGGAAGTTACTCTTAGAAAAATTCAAGGACTCTTGAAGACCGCTGAAACCGTTCTTAAGGGCAAGTCGGTTGTTACCTCTACTACTCCTACTCCAACATCTACCCCTGTTTTGGCTATCGGGCAAGGCAAAGCGAAAAAAGGAAGTCCCCTTCGAAGGGTACAAAGGGAAAGTCTCTTGAAGGCACCTCATCAAGGACCAAGAGCGGTTCTTTCACTCCTTCTGCCATTCCCAAGGATGCTGATTGCTACTACTGCCAGGACAAGGGGCACTGGAAGCGAAACTGCCCTAAGTACTTGCACGATCTCAAGAATGGGAAAGTGAAACCCACCCACGTAGGTATTTACACAATATTGTCTAATAGCTCACCATATTCTAACTCTTGGGTGCTTGATACAGGATGTGGTATTCACATATGTTCTGATTTGCAAGGCCTAAGAAGAAGTGAGGATGTGGAGCACGGGAAGATAAACTTGATCATGGGGAATAGGAAGGCTTCACATGTTTCCAAGATTGGAGTTTATGCCCTGTTGCTAAATAATGGGTTAAAATTACATTTGAATAAATATGTGTACTCATCTGAAATGGCAAGATATATTATTTCTTTTCATCGCTTTTACAAATAAGGTTTTACCTTTTCGTTTGATAATAAATGTGGTGGTATTGATGCTTTCTTTAATAATGTGTTTTATTTTTAAGCATTACCTTGTGATAGTGTGTATGAAACTGTGTCGGCTGTAGAAAACTTAGGAAATAATGTATTGTATGTTGATTCTTCTACTAGCCTAGATAAAGCACCATTGTGGCATTATCATCTTGGACATGTAAACAAGAAATGCATAGGCCAACTCCAAATGGATGGAGTCTTGGAATCATTTGACCTTAAATTGGATGATAGTTGTGAATCTTGTCTACGTGGAAAGATGACAAAATCACCCTTCACTGGTTCTTGTGAACGGGGTGAGGGTTTGTTGGACCTAATACATACTGATGTGTGTGGACCATTCAAAACCACTACAAGGGATGCTAATCGGTATTATGTGACTTTTATTGATGATTTTAGTAGATATGGTTATGTCTACTTAATCAAACATAAGTCGGAAACCTTTGAAAGGTTTAAAGAATTTAAACAGGAAGTAGAAAATCAATTGGGCAGGAACATTAAGATGCTTCGATCCGATCGAGGTGGTGAGTATCTTAGTACCGAGTTCCTTGACTATCTTAAGGAGTGTGGGATTGTCTCACAATTGACTCTTCCCAGGACACCACAGCTGAATGATGTAGCTGAGAGGCGTAATCGAACCTTGTTAGACATGGTTCCCTCTATGATGAGTCGAGCTTCGCTACCAATCTCTTTTTGGGGGTATGCCTTAAAGACTGTCGCCCATATCCTTAATCTAGTCCCTACAAAGAAGGTAACCAAAACACCTCATCAGATGTGGACTGGGAAGGTTCCCAATTTGGAACACATCAAGATTTGGGGTTGCGAGGCTTTCGTGAGGCGCGAAACTCATGACAAGCTTGAACCCGAAAGTGAAAGGTGTATTTTCATCGGCTACCCACGGGAATCCTTCAGTTACCTCTTCTACAGACCCAGTGAGAATGTGGTCTTTGTAGCAAGAAGAGGGGTCTTTCGTGAGAGAGAGTTTATAAGCCAAGGAGATAGTGGGAGGCAAATTGACTTTGAAGAAATTCAAGAATCAATTAGTGAAGGAACCTCAGACACTAGCAATCAACCTGAGGAGGAAACTCCTGTTGAGCCAGCTGACAAGACTGTACCTTCGAGGCGTTCCACACAGGTTAGGACCACACCTGAGTTTTATTATGGTTTTCATATTACTACAGAAGGTGATACATTTATCAACTATAGTATACTGGTAGATTTGGATGAACCTAGCAGTGTTAAGGAAGCCATGGCAGGCCCGGAGTCTGCTAAATGGAAGGAAAAGTGCACATTTATAAGGCTTGATTGGTTGCGAAAGGTTTGTATCAGACTCGGGGTATTGATTATGATGAAACCTTCTCACCGGTAGCAAGGATTAAGCCTATTAGGGTTATGCTAGCCATTACTGCATTTCATGATTATGAAATATGGCAAATGGATGTCAAAACCGCTTTTATTAATGGAATGTTGGCTGTGGATGTGTACATGAATCAGTCAGAGGGTTTTGTTAGTGCAGAATACCCTAATAGAGTGTGCAAACTTGAGAAATCCATTTATGGATTAAAACAAGCATCTTGTAGCTGGAATCTTTGTTTCGATGAGAAGGTAAAAGAGTTTGGCTTCTCAAGAAGTGAAGATGAGTCTTGCATGTATGTCAGAGCTAGTGGGAGTATAGTTAGCTTCTTGGTACTGTATGTAGATAACATACTACTTATAGGAATTGACATCCTAACCTTGCAGGAGGTTAAGTCCTGGCTTGGGAAGTGCTTTGCTATGAAGGACCTAGGGGAAGATGCCTATTTCTTAGGGATAAGGATATTACGAGAAAGGAGTAAAAGACTAATTGGACTTAGTCAGAGTACCTACTTGGATAAGGTGTTGAATAGGTTCAACATGTAGAATTCCAAGAAAGGAGATTTACTGATCCAATGCAATGCCAAACTGCGTAGGACTCAGAGTCTGTGTACAGAGGCTGAGATAGCATAAATGAGTCGATTACCATATGCTTCCGCTGTAGGGTCGATCATGTATGCTATGACTTGTACCCGACCTAATGTGGCCTTTGCTTTGACCATGGTCAACAGATATCAGGGGAACCCTGGAAAGGCTCATTGGATCGCGGTATAGAACATTCTTAAGTACCTGAGAAGGACTAAGGATTGGATCCTTACCCTTGGTGGGAGTGATGACTTGAGAGTATTGGGGTATAGTGATGCTAGTTTTCAGACTGATAAGGATAACTTCCGCTCTTAGTCGAGCTGGGTCTTTACCCTAAATGGAGGGGCAATCTCTTGGAAGAGTTCCAAGTAGGAGACGGTGACTGATTCGACTTGTGAATCAGAGTATATAGCAGCAATTGAAGCGGCGAAGGAGGCGATATGGCTAAAGAACTTCATCGGAGACGTTGGAGTTGTACCAGCTATTAAGGAGCCTATGGAGATTTTCTGTGACAAAAATCGTGCGGTTGCCTTAGCCAAGGAACAGAGAGATCATGGCAGATCCCGACACATTGATAGAAAATACCACTTCATAAGACACAAGATAGAAGAAGGACTCCTCGTGGCAAAGAGGGTATCGTCAGATGAGAACCCTGCAGATCCCCTTACGAAGGGACTGATGAGGGTTAAGCATTTGCAGCATGCGAGGCACATCTGGCTGAGGGACGATATTAGTTTTATATATTAGATAGCCTTTTATGAAACTTGTAAAATATAATCGACGTTTGATGATGAATAAAATTTGTGATTTATTTATAAGTAAAGTGTTTCTATAATTGTCAATTGTTTACTATTGTTTCAGTTTTGCATGTTTTGACTTCCAGAATAATTAATTTATTTAAACCTCCACAATCGGTCATATGTCGGAAGTCGGTATGAATAAAGATTGTCATGAATTGGGTTTGTAGATGGCTAAAGGTGTTTAGCCATAGGAATGGTTACTACAACGTTCATGAGTGCTCATAAGTTATGAGTATTGGAATAAACCCACGCTCACTTGTATCACTTCATGGAATTTATCCCGAGTGATTGTGAGATGATAATATCATATAAGTCTTCAAACCTAGAGATATGAGTTGTTACCTATCAGTTGGTTGTGCATTGATTACATGTAAACGCATCAGTAACTTGATGTTATAAAACGTGCATTTGTGTAAAATTCAACAAGTAGTAGAATAAGCATATGAGTCGAAGTTTATCTGTTCCTTCTAGAAATAGAAGCGATATCTTGGCCCCTCGATGATTTTGTGTTGACCCATGTACCAGGCCCAGTCAGAACTAAGTTGATGTGTTCAGTTAAGTTCTTTGTTAAACAAATCGGAAATCGAGAAACAACTGCCAGACAATAAGTAAGACATTGTTCCATGTGTTTGTCCGGCTGATATCATGAGAGTAGAGGTCTATATGATCACTTATCTAAAATGGCGCTTCATAGTTCAACAGAGTTTTCGAGAGCTACGATTTCCGGTTGGTTCCTGAAGTAATATAGGAAAATACAGTTATTAGACTTATCCAAGTGGGAGTCTGTTAGATAAGGTGTCTAAGTCTATAACTTATTTGGTATATACTTGACCCGACCCGGCATGCTCCATTTAGGTTGCACTTCACCCAAACTATTTATGGATAATTTTATGAGAATTGTATACTTAAGATTTATTAATATATTATAAGTTACACTACTAGAAAAACATCCATTTACGACGCTCATTGTGTGTCGTAAAACGCTCAGACGACGCGCAAATGCGGGTCAAGGAAGGCCCTGTCATAAAGAGAGATGACGCTCTTTTGCGCGTCGTCTATACACGACGTGCATTTACGACGTGCATTAATGACGCGCATTTACAACGCGCGGTGATGACACGCAATGCGTATCAAGGAAGGCCATGTCATAAAGGAAGACGACACGCATTTGCGTGTCATAACCTTATGACGCGTGTATTTATGAAACTCAATTCGTATCAAGGAAGCCCCTGTCAAGAAAGGTCATGTCATAAATGAAGACGACACACATTTTTGCGTATCGTAATTTTAATTTTTTTTTTAAAAAAAAAATTTAGATTTACTGATTGTCAAATTAAATTTGCATTTCATATGTCATAATAGAAATAAAAATACCATATACAAAAAATACAATCCATTGCATAAAATTTAATGTCATACAATTCTATTTCTTACAATATATAAATTTGCATCTAATCTACTATGGACATCAAATTCCAACTAAGTAAAGTTGCATCTTGCCTTTCATAATTCTTTAAGACTAATGCTCCAAGCAGCTGATTATATGGATAAGCAGTTGTACATTGGCCCATCTCACTCAATAATGATTTAGCCAAATTCAACTCCATGTCTTCACTGCATCTTGCTGATAATGATGCAAGATTTGAATCAAGTGGCTTCATATTCCTTTCTTCCATCAACTTTACCTGATGAACAAAATACACAAAAACAAAAAAACATTATAGAGGAAGGGGTAATTTGGGAAATGTGAGGGGTATAATATAATATGAATGCAAATACTTAATACCACTTTCATGCCATCATCAATCCAACGGTTGTTTTGAATAAAATCACCTTTACTCATCTTACATATAAACAAACCAAAGCATCAAAATCAGAAAAATAAATGAATATACAAACTGGGAATAAATAAAAGATTGAAATCTGACCTTATCTTTGACGATGTTGTTATGGGCATCCGTATTGAGCATAATCACAAAATATGCAAGAACATATGCTGTGTCAGCACTAGTGAAGGAATTAGGGTTTCTAAAAATCAAAATCTGAAATAGATATGAATATAAATATATAGTTATATAGTTATATTCCACGTATCCTGGTATAGAACCAGAAATGCAAACACTACATTCACTAGGAAAATGCCAAACTGAAAAAAAGATAAGATAAATCTTCTTTTAACTTGAGGTTTACAAGGAATTTTTATAACTTTGTAATGCATATACAAGCTACATACAAAACTTTTAATGATGTTGAATAAGAAATGTATATTCATTTCAAAGCTTTTAATGAATTGAAATTGTAAATGAGTTGGTTGACAATTCTTGACATTTAACCCTAATTTTGAAATTGTTTAAAATAAATTAAAATGTAATAATGTTACCCGACGACCCATTAATCTTGTTCTTAGAAATTCCCTTGCTTCACGGGCATAAGGAGCAGGTTTTTCCTCTCTTCTTGGGTTTCCCAATTTGGGACATCTGATACTTGAGAGATTCAGTCTTCTTTCAGTAGCTGGACTACCAAATGGTAATGACTCATCAGCAACAACAATGCAGTCCCCACTAACAACTTCAATTACTTGTATAAAGTTTTAATTTAGTGAAGTTTATTAAAAACCGGAAGAAATGAGATAGTTTAACGACAAACCTTTCCAATGAAGTTATCTAATATAGCCTTTGAATTGGTAGCTGGGGGAGCATATTGTTTTTTTTTTCAATTAGGGACATGCAAAATATGTTGAGTGGAGTGCGAGTATGATGGAAGATGAAGCCAGGAGGAAGTTAAAAGCTCTAGAACTCCAAGCAAAGAAGACTAAGATGAGGCTTTGGACAAACTATTTTCCCCCAGCTACCAATTCAAAGGCTATATCAGATAACTTCACTAGAAAGGTTTGTCTTTAAACTTAACAACTGGCTCCTACCAGCACTAGCTAAGATGGCTGGTAGCACTTACTGTATCAGTTACCACCTAAAATCAATAAAAAAACAAAATTTAGAAATTCAGGAAGCCAACTACATATACGGAGAAACCGACAACATCACAAACAGATATTCATGCTCAAATAACAAAAATACCCATCAACATTAACATCCAATCCAAAACTAATAGAGATATATATTATTGCTTACCTTTACCACCAACAAAATTGCAAAATGGTGATCAACAGGTAAGCAACAACTCCTCTATATGACTCACCAAATATTTGGTAAACAAGAAACAAGAAGCAAGATCATAAGCTCGATTTATTTCACGAAATGACTATGCCAATAAAGTCGATAGTTTTCAGCAAATTTCGAGTGAAAGACAAAAAAACCATGACCTGTTGCCCTGTACTTTGCACCTCCATGAAGCAGTGTTCTACCATAGTAGTGAGTTTTTGTTCCAAGTGAGAAGGTGAAGAAAATAGGGGCAAGTTGTATTGCATGAGAACCTATTCCAAGTAGTTTTCCATAATCACACATTACAAATTTCATTTATCAGTAGAATCAAAAGCATCAGATGTAATAGTAGCAGGTACGACTTCTTTTTATTTTTATTTTTTTGGTAAAAAACTTACAGTGGAGAAATAATCTTCTGATGTTGCAAATGATGGCCAAAGATCCATTGGCAACTCATCACTAGAGTGGATATGTGACCCCACATCATTGGTTGCACGTGTCCCATCATCAAGAGGTCCTTGTAAGATTTGTTGATTGCACTTATGAACATGAGGATCCAAAGCACTCATTAATCCAAGAACCTGATCAGAGATTTTTTTCAGCATAAATCTCTGTACATAACATCATAGAAACTAGAAAAGGATCAAAAACATACCTTAAGAACTTCCCGCCTTGTAGACTATACCAGCTCACCATTCAACAATTTTAAAAGTAAGCTCGACAATTGTGGGTACTCATTACATGGAGCTATCACATAACTATAAAAAATAACAACCAATTTTTGTAAAAAGTGTTTGCCCTTCTAAATATAGTGTCACTTGTAATATTGATAAAGTTGAATACATACCCTGTGCTCTGTACAAGTTGACCAAGAGTTGCAACAACAACCTTACGTTTAGTAGCAGCAGCTTCATCCAATAAAGCTCCAACAACTCTTGGTATAAGTTTAGGGATATATTCTCTCATAGGAAAACCACCCTACGCATATACAAGTAAGACTCAAGAAATCAAACATTTTACACTTAAGAGAACAAAAAAAAAAGAATGTAAGAATCTCCTACCACTCTAGCAAGATCTCCCACAGTTACAAGAACACCACTTATAATTCCATTGTTTGCATTCACTCCTGGTGTTCCTTCACATAGTTTAGCCAAAAGTGCTTGAAACAAAAAACCAATTATAGGGTCAGAACCAACTCTGCATCTTGATCAGACTTAGTATTGCTGGTAGTTTTCTCAACATGGCATGTATCTTCATTATTAGAACAAACATGGTGCCCTTCATGGGTGCATGACAAATCTACACCAGAAGTACTTTCATCAGCTCTATCATCTCCATGGGTTCACATTGATGATTCTCAAAACTATCTGGTGTAATAGCTGTTGAATCTTCTGCACCAGCTAAAATTCCACAGTTTAACAAACTTTTCTTAATCATCAAGATCCCATGACTCACAACTTTGACATGGAATAATCCATTGCATCCACAAGGAAATCTACACATAACATGAATACAATGTTAAAATTCATTCAATAGATGAAAACATGTATTTGATGTATATGTATACATATACGTATATGTATACACATGTATTATGCATATCTGTGAAAGAATACCTGCATCATCTTTATTGAAGCACATAGTTGGTTTTATCCTGAAAACATTCCCATGCAATCCACCTTTTCCAACCAGAAACCTGAGCTCTTCATTCACAATAATATAATAAAAAACAATTATATCAAGGTCAAAATGGGCAATTTGAAATTTTCATACATAACATACCTCGTAGTTTTTCAAACAAAATCGCAGTTTCGCCCTTTGTTGGCGTCTTCTCTTTCTGATTAGTCACAAGCTCAATTCTCACCATCAATCCTCTCCCCAGCTGAAATTACACAACTATTGCACCTGATAGTTTTTCAAAAAAAAAATGTGTCACTTGTTTCTTTTCCTATTAACTAATGATCTCTGTGAAGTAGCTTTTTATAGATTTTTTAATGACATCTTGGACTGGGTTAGGTCACTAAAGAAGCAAAAAAAAAAATGGGAATTAGGTTGGAATTAAAGGAATGTGATGATTAAAAAGCACACCTGCAACCTCTGAAGCCAAGCATTGGGTTCACTTCAGATAAATTCTCGATACTTGAATAAATTTGACCCTCGGTCATGCCAATGTACTCAGTGAGTTCACTCACAATTTGTTGCAGATCACCTTCGAGTAAAAATTCATGGACTGGAGGATCCAAAAGGCGGATTGTCACTGGAAGTCCTGAAATATTTGATGTAATCCAAGTATAAAACAAGGGATTTCCCAAATGTACTATGAAATGATTATTAAAAATACTAAAAGATCATGAATCTACCATCCATTGCTCGGAAATTCCCTCAAATTCGGATCTTTGGTAAGGCAGTAATAGGTCTAGTGCTGCTTTGGGATGAAGTTCTTGAGAATTAGGGATAATGGCAAACCTGTTGCCACCACTTGGTCTTTGTAACCAGATGCATTCTCAAACTAAATAGTAGATTCATAATTAGTGATACATAGACATGCACATAAACATAATATAAATTGATCAAATTGCTACTACTTATAGAAAGGGACAATGTTAATAAAATGGTATCCAAGATTAACCACTAGACTTTCAATTTTATTTTATTGTTGTAAATATACATGATATAAATTCATCTTCATTACTTTTAATTAAAAAAAAATCATAATAACAGAACAAAATTGAAATTTGAGTAGAAGAACAACTATGGAACTTGGTTATCATTTAATGAAGATGTTACATCCACATCATTAAAAATTTGATCTATGTAAAAAAACAAAACAAAATTTCATAGCAAAGATACAAAAAATTACAAATTTTCATAATAGGATGTCTCCTAAAAATAATTCCCTAAATGAAACAAATATGAAACTTGGTTACTATTTAGAAACATACGTTTTATATAAACGGTGAAACGTGGTATAAAATGCATCTAAGTTTTTTAGCACACATTATAATACGATACCTATGGATGGAGAACCTGATCTAGATGTTAAGGCTCGACCCTCATAATTATTGTTCGAGTATCAGTTAATTCTTCCTTCACCATTTCTACTGCAATTCTCACTGTGCCTTTACCAATATGTCAACTCATCACAGTTCTCCCAAAGATCATGGTTCCATTAGTTGGAACGCCTTGAATTTTCCTTCTTCTGTAACACCCCTAGTATAAAGAACGACACAAACTTGAGATAAAATTTATATTTATAGAATTTCAATGATAAAAAGATATGAACTTTCTGTTAAATTAGGAAAATAGGACTTAAAAAAAACAACCTGTTCTTAGAAAGAAACTGTGAAAAGAAAGCAGAATCTAGTGGGATGAAGTCCTGTGGGCGAGATCTATAGCGTGGATCTCTATTTGCGATTTTTTGATCCCAACAAAAAACCTTTTTTAATCAAAAGTTAGTAAGACATGTTTCCAAATAAACCCAACTTTAAGATAAAAATATTCAAATTGAATGAACTTTAATAACATATACCTCAAACGATGCCCTGGTTGTATTGATTGGGATGAAGTTCTTGACAGTTAGGCTTCTTTGGTATGAAGTTCTTGAGAATTAGGGATCCTACCTTCAATTGATATATAGAGAGCTTTGATAGAGTGGGGAGTTAAAGATGCAGTCGTGAAGAAAAAGGGATTTAACAAGAATCGGAAGTTTGTTCCTTCGAGCGTAAATGAAATGGAGAAAAATTAAGCCGGTGAGAAAAAGGATTTAGCAAGATAGGGTTCTGGTAAAAGAACGAAAACATAGGGAAGAGAAAATCAACCGAAACACACCTTAATAAGACATAGGGCTTGTAGATTTGAGCAATAGAAGAAGTAATCCTAAGGTCGCCGGACATGATGTTGCCGGAAAGGGGAGGCGAGGTGATATTTTCGTTCGAGAGTCGACATATCTTGTAGTGATAGTACCTGAAGGTTTCTAGTTCGAATGATTTAGGCTCCGTGGAACTTTAACATGAGGCCAATCATAAAGCATCATAGGGATTCGTCGCAGTGGAAGGTGCCATTATGAGTGCCGATTCGCTTAGGTGGTGAAGTAGAAGTAGTGGTGAAAGTTAAACGTGAAATTGTTGAGTTGAATGCTATAAAATTTGGCATATGTGAGAAAGGAAGCATAAGGGAGATTCGAGATCGTAGAAATAGAAGGGATGTAACCATTGTTAAGGCTGGCAACCTTGTTTGAATGCCTGCTGTTAATGTTTCTAGGGTTTGTGAGGGCTGGAGGTGGGGGCGGTGTTTTTAATTTTTTGGATTCCATTTCCCCCTTCAGCTATAACCTGCGTTCTTAAAAAAAAATTATAAAGCGACACCTTTACACGATACGTATTAAACATAAGCGCCCTTCATGTATTTTTTTTTCTTGTTGAAGACTAATTTTAGGGCGTGCAAAAATGCGTATCCTCTATCCTTCAAATTTTGAAAAATTGACATTAGTTTTTAGTGCAAGCACAAATGCTTGTCCTCTATCAGTGTGTGTCATTAATTGCGCGTCGTAACAGGCTGTTTTTCTTGTAGTGTTATAATATATTAATATAAAGTCATGTTATTTAATTAGTTTTAATCTAGAATTAATTATGAATTAATTTAGTGATTAAAAGGAAGACTAATTAAATCATGGGTTATTTCATTTATATGGTGTGGGCTAATACTCATTTGTTAATGGGGTAAGCTTATATGGAAGTCCATGGATGATCCATGGAGCTTCTAACCCATGGATCCTAGGAAAGGAAAAGACATGGGTTATTAGGGTTTCACCTAACCATGCACAATATATAAACAAGCTTATGTTGCATGAAATAGCATCCTAGAGTTTTTGTGTGTAAGGTGTGGCCGATTTCTAAGAATGTGTATACTCTCTCATAAAGTTTTCCAGGTTTGTGGTGATTTGTGATTTCCATTTGAGGCATTCACATTATTGGTGCTTGGCTCTCAAACTACAAGGAATCAACACTCATCAAAAGGTATGTAATTCATCTAGTTCGTTTTATGTTTAAAAATGCCCCATGCCATGCCATTTTGCATGTATTTAGACAAACATAGATCCAAGGTTTATTAGGGTTGCCTGTACACTTAGGAAGTGTTAGAATGCTCAAAACCCAACAACAACGACACGCTAGTGGGAATTCTGGGCCAACCCCACCAGAAATCAACTCAGCGGCATTTCAAGCAGCTGTATCTGCGGCAGTCACATCAGCACTAGCACAAATCTAAAATGGAAACAATGGTGGAGCCAATGAACAAGGGGCTGGAAGTTCGAACAACGGAATAAATCAAGGACCTACCAAGACATGCTCTGACAAAGACTTCACCAACGCCAAGCCACAAACCTTTAATGGCACGGGTGGAATGATAACCCTAAAAAGATGGATAGAGAAAGTGGAATCGGTATTTGAGATATGCGAATGCTCCAAGGAGATGAATGTGAAGTTTTCCGCATGCATGTTCATTGATCAACCTCTCACCTGGTGGAATTGACATGTGGAAGCCATGACTCTCCCCGTAGCCAACTCCATGCCGTGGGCAGAATTGAAAGAAATGCTGATGGCCGAGTACTGCCCGCGAGGCAAAATTCAGAAGATGGAGCAAGAGTTGTGGAACCTCACTGTCCGCAACTCTGACATTGGTGCATACATATCAAGGTTTAGTGAACTATCACTGTTGTGTCCTGGCATGATTACTTCAGAGGGAAAGAAAATCAAACGATTCATCTGGGGATTAACCTCCCCAATTCAAGGAAAT